GGGTGAAATAAGAGGGGTAAAAATTTCAGCCCCTATTTTTTTACCTCCTTTTTTTCCCACCAAACAATTAACTTTATTTTCAACTCAAATTTTTTCCCTCCAAACATTTCATTCTTTTTTTTTACCCCAAATTTTTTCCCTCCATTTCAAATCAGCACTCTTGGAAGAGTACTTAAAGACCCTGCCAGCAGAACAGTAACACGCTTATGAAACATCAAATTTTTCCCCCAACTTGACTTTTCCAATCAAGTTAGGGTATTTAACAAACAACCTGCCATAAATCTCAAGTACAAGTACAAAATTACAATCCAAAAGTCAGAAATCTTAATTACAGCAATTGTTTAACAAATCAGGCTACCATCCTACGCCTAATTAGTCCTAAGTTAGAAGCAGCATCTTCCTTCCTTTGAATTGATCTAGTTCAGCACAGCAAAGCCCAAAAAAAAACAGCCACCAACTTCATTACCAGTTCCAAAATCTGTGGAACTCAGGGTCATTAGTTTATCAAGCATGGCAGACAATTTCAATGATGCTTTTTTCAGCATTGACCAAATGCTCAACGATGAAGGCAACATGGAAGACCAATATTCAAGCAATGAAGGAACTCAAAACAATCAACACAGTCAACAACAAGAAGAAACAACACATAATCCCAGAGCCAAGAAAGAGCTGACTGTATCCCAGAAGAGACAGATTGTTGATGATTTTTTATTACAGCAAGAAGGTGGGGAAATACCAAGAGGATTTTTAACAAAGCAAGCAATCAAGTTTCATGTACACAGGTCAACTATTCACAGACTAATCAAAGACATTAAGTCACAAATGGCAGTGGGGAATGTGATAGATGTCAGAAGCAAGAAGTTGGGCAAAATTGGACCCAAACCAACAGAATACACACACAGATGAGTTCCTGCAATCAGCCCCATTGTACAAGAGGGTAACCACAAGATAACAAGACTGAAATGGGTGTTAAGTCATCTACTGCCAGCCGAAGATAATAGGGACCCACAATTTTTGGATATGCAGCAAGTAGTGCATATCGATGAAAAATGGTTCTACTTGAAGCCCAATGAGCCTAACCCATATATGTGCCAACGGTCCAAAAGGTTCAAGGTAAAAGCCATGTTTATGGTTGCCATTGGGAAGCCAATTTTTGACCCCCAAGGAGTTGTCTTGCATGATGGAAAATATGGAATTTTTCCATTTGTGTATGAAAGCACAACAAAGAAAAAAAGCAAAAACAGGGAGGCAGGTGTTGTGGAAACAAAGGCAATACAAAATGTCAACAAAGAGGCAATCAGGGCAATGCTGCTGGAAAAAGTGATTCCTGCATCAAACATAAATGGCCATCCCATCTGTCCAAGGACATATGGATTCAGTGGGATAATGCTTGACCCCATCAAATCCCTAGGGATGAGGAATTTAATGCAGCATGCAGTCAGATGATTTCAATATCCAATTCATTTACCAGCCAGCTCAATCCCCTGACCTTAATGTGCTAGATTTGGGGTTGTTTAATGTCATTCAATCCATACAATACCAATCATTTCCTAGGAACTTAATGGAACTCATTGAGAAAGTGAAAGAGGCTTATGACTTGTTTAATCCAATTTCAAACAAGCATTGTTGGCTAACATTGCAATGTTGCATGGAAGAAATACTCAAACATCTTGGGGGGAATCATTTTACCCCTCCACACAAAGGGAAGAAAAGGCTGGAAAGACTAGGCATGGTGCCAGAAGTACTACATGTGGACAGGACTTTGGTTCAACAAGCTGTTGATCACATCAACAGTATGTTCATAGAAATAGGTCAAGGCAATGACAATGATGAAGGAATGGAAGTTGATGCAGACTAAACACAGCAAAGACAAATGAGCAAGGTAACAATGAAGATCAAGGAAGCCACTAGGTAGTGTTTATTGGTTTTTTTTTTCCAACTTTATTTGTGTTATTGGTTATGTGTATTTTGTTTACATTGAAGGTCAATTAGGTAAGGCAGTCTTGACTAGCTTTTGTTCAACATGTGTAATCTTTTGAAAGACCATATGATATGAAATGTGATGATTTTATGTACAAAAAGCAATTACAGTAGTATTAAACTGTGAAACATAGGCAGAAACAGTATTTTAAATCCATCAGATGGGTGTTGTTTTTTCACATAAACTGCATAATTGGTTACCTCAACAACAACTTTTGTATTAAAGTTGTTGGAGCAATTCCAATGATGCAATTTTTTTTTTTCAAACTGAGTCCCTTCATCACTTGGATTTTTCCCACCTAATAACACTAGATCAAAGGACTCCTAGATCAGGTAGGACCACACATTTAGGCTACATTGTGATCTGAATGCACAAAACAGAAGGGACTCAGCATCAGGTAGGTTTCAAAGGACTCATTTATCACCATTTAAAGTAGGCTACAGTCATCATCATTCATCAGATCACAAACCCCAAAGCCATTAGTGCCAAATAGGTACACAACCTGAAGGATCCTATCTCACATACACAAGCAATTGGCTACAATTGAGGGCCTAAAATTGCCAACATCATGCAGAGATTACCAACAAGGCACAACATTAAGTATTCATCAGCCAGAAAATAGGATAATCATGCACAAATTACTAACAACCACGCCCACCATTAACAAAATCATGCCACAATTTAGTAGTAATAAGCCACAAATTACTAACAACACCAACAATTAACAAAACGCCAGAATTTAGTAATCATAAGCCAGAAAATAGGATAATCATCCACAAATTACTAACAACCACGCCCATCATTAACAACATCAAGCCACAATGTAGTAGTAATAAGCCACAAATTACTAACAACCACGCCCACAATTAACAACCCCCCAGAATTTTATCCTCATAAACCAGAAATTAACTAAATCATGCACAATCTACTTCCAATCAACACGAAATAGCAAAAAGGGGCTTTTTTTCACAACCAACAACCAATTCACAGAATCAACATCATTGAACGAAATAGTATAAACTATAAAGGGTCAGAAAAGAGTTACGCTACGTGATTAGTTAGAAGGGTTGTCATTCACAGCACCATTACCACCATCGCCAACAGGGGACCCAGATCTAGCCCTTTTCTTGCCAGAGACCACTCTAGCAGGCCCAAATCTACCAAGATCTTCTTTATTTTCCGGGATAGGGACTACCGAAAGACTTTCAGCAACTTCAATGCTAACCACATCAGCAGGACCCTTATTCTTCGAACCCTCATCTTTGTTGGCCACATCTGCACCCTTAGACCCTTCACCTTCCTCATCAGAGTAGTAAGGCTTAAGTTTCGCACCCACACCGTACATACGGCACATATCCAGGTAGGTGGCCCTTCGAGTTCCAATCAACCTCATCTTCCCAGTACGACGTTGGCATTTGTAGGTCGCAATAACGTCGTCATCCGGCTTCTTCTCATTTGGAGAACTCATTTTTTGGGTTTTTTCACAGAAAAAACTGGGTAAACCAGATCTGGAGGAATTAGGGTTTGAACGAAGAGAGAGAGTGAGGTGAACCAGACAGTCAGAGGAAAATAGAGAGTGTTTGGTAAAATAATCAAGAGAAGAGCGAGAGTGTTGCAATCTGGAATGACTTCCAGAGTTAAATCAGAGAACAACCTCATTAATGGAGGTAGGAGAGGGATCAATTGACTGAGGTGCACAAGAACCAAAGAAGACAATTGACTGAGGTGAAATCTGTAATTGATGAGGGTTTGAAGAGCCTCATTAATGGAGGTAGGTGAAAGGACGAACTCAGTGAGGAGAAGATGAAAGGAGGGTGTGATGAATGACGGGGAAGAAAGATCTAGAAGAGGGTTGGTTTGGGTGGGAATCATTAGGTTAGATCTTTAGATAATAAGGTTTTTTTATTTTAATAAAAAAAAGAGGTTAGTGTATAATCAGATTTTAATAAGGGTATGATGGTAACTTTATCAATAAAAAAGTTTCTTAAAAAGGGAAAAAAAAATTGTTGCAACTAATAGGTAGCACCTATCTATAGTATTTGTTGCAACTAACCGTTAACGGAGGGAGTATATAGTTGTACAATAGTGGGGTTTAATGGAAAAAAAAAACATTTCTATTCATGGTGTTGATTAGAAATTTTTTGAAATAATAATAATTAAGTTAGTTTTCTATTAAATATTTCTGTAATACTTTTACCAACTTATAACTTTTTTTCTACTCAAAAAATCTATTAACTATTACTAAAACAAGTCATGCTTACATCGATCATTTTTTAACCTATGTCAAGCTATCATTAAAAAATTTCCTGCCAATACAATATATATGATGTGAGCTTTAAGTTTTTTATTTATTTATTTTTTTTTTAAAAAAAAATTCTACTTAGCTTATTTTTTGGAAGTATATTGTATAGTATTTTTTGAACTAAATTAATTCATTAATAAAAATTCATACGACATCTACATTGATAGTTTTATTGGGAATAACTTGCATCATTAATGTAATATAATGTATACTATTTTTAAATTTTAACACAACTAATCAAAAAAATTTTTTTTTTTTTCTCAATTGTAGTTTTAAAATTTTTTGCCTTATTATTTCTTTTTTCTTTTATGCATTACAGTTGTTTATTCCACAAGAGTTTTCTCATTTTTATATTATATCACAAACTAATTATGAAAATAAAGATTATTATTACCGTGCATTGCACGAGCACTAATCTAGTTAGCATATATATTACTCTGCAATTCTGCATTACAAAACAAAGATAAATCGTAGACTTGTATAGTTAATTAGTTATAATCCTTTCATACCATTTTAGTTGATTTGTTTAGCGTATAAGAAAAAGTAAGGAATGTCTGTCATGGGACATAGGGGTACTAGTCGTACTACGTTCTTACGCTTAACTAATTTAAGCGATGTTAGTGTCACTACCATTACACTTTATACGTTTATATCAAAATTGAAATTTTGCAAAAAATGAAATAAAATAAAATCTACAGTTTTCTTTCTAATTACAAGTAATCACAAATACCTTTTTAACAAGTTAGCTTCATATATATATATATATATACACAAACAAATCAAATTAAATCAAATATGAAACATATTTAATATGTGCAACAATTTATCTTTGATCTTATATACATCTAACCTAATTACTGTGGTTTACAATCTAGATCAGAAATAAGGCTGGTCAACCAAACTGAATCAGCTGCTTTAGGCAGATTATCCTCATTTCTATGCCATGTCCACTGAGCATGGGTTGAGTTGACAACTTGTAATTGTCCATGCCCAAAACTTGCTTCTCTGTAAATGGAGATCTCTGGCTTTGGATCCATAAATCTGTGAATATTATGTAATTAAGATTAATTAACCATAAGCTCAACAAGGCAAACTCATATATACTCCATTTACACAAATTTACAAATAAATCAAGAGAAAAATCTTAAGTTTGTAATTGAGCTAGTTGTAAGAAGATGCACTCTTTTTTATAAATGCATTCTTTAAGGGTGGTATCGAAGATCAAGACACAAAACTTATTCACATTAAGTGTTTGCAAAAATCCACCTCATATATCAGTAGTGTTAGCACATCTACTTCTGAAATAAAAATCCAAGTATATACTACCTCCGTTTTAAATTATTTGCAACGATTAGACATTTTCTATTCACACTTTATGTTAAATCGTTGCAAATAATTTAAACGAAATTAGAGTATATACATCAAGGCATAGCTTAGTGTGCATAGGTATCAATCAATTAACACCCGAAAAATGTACTTTTTAAAGTGTATCCGAGTAATCCTTTTTTACTCGCTGTGAGTGGATTCTTAAAAACACAAACTTTCGTAAATGAATCAGTCCTTCAAACATAACAAACTCTATTTTAAAAAAGTAATAAGATATCTCATGCATGGTAATGAGAAATATATACATATTCATATAAATTGAGATAAAGGTTAAGAGAAAATTACTTTCTGGCTAGTCCTTCTCGATTGCCTCCATCCCCTATAGTCTGTTTAACAATCAAAGTGAAGATGTAAACATCATTAGAAATAAATAACTTGTCTTGTCAATTTGTCATAGACATAATTGACATAACCAATCAATTTTACAACTATGTTCGTTCATGAATCATGATACATTGATCTCTTAAAATGAGATTAATATACTCCATAACACTTAGGGATCGAATTAATCTTTTCCATCTCTTTCAAATTCAATACCATCCTAAACGTTGCAAAATTAAGTTGTGACCTTTTATCATGTAGATAGATTAATACGAAGTATATGATTTGGATGACTAATTTTAAACTTGTTCTATGTCAAACTACCCGATATTAAGGCTTTGTTCACTTCACCTTATTTTTACTGAACTGAAATCGTTTTTTGTTGAACTTAAATTATTTTTACGGAAGTGAAATTATTTTTAATGAAGTGAAATTATTTTTACTGATCTGAACTTAATTTTACTGAATTGAAAAAATTTCACTTACAAATCTTTCATAAGCATGCACATGCCCAGCAAAAACAATATCAACCCTTGCATCATAGAGTAATTGTTCCATGGCCTTTCTCATATCCACTGATTCATACTCTCCGACGTGAGCCATGTTGGAATTGTACCATGGCGTGTGCAAAACCACAATAACCCACGATGTCTTCTTTCTGTTGACTTTCTTCAAGTCACCCTCAAGCCATGTATATTGGCTCGAGCCTTGATCAAAGTCGGTATAGGACCCAAGCATGATGACATGAACCTCACTTGCCACATCAAAGGAATAATATAGGTTCGAGGGAGACTCACTCTCCTCGAAAGGCATGTGCCATCGAGCATTGTAGGAGGTAAAGGGAGTTGGATGGATTATCGGTATCTTTTCAACCTCGTGGTTGCCAATGGTCACCATCCAAGGCCTTTGGCTAGCCAAAGTTTCCACGAGGCGGCCAAATGAGTCCCAATATGGTTGCCAAAAGTCTGCATAGGATAAGTCTCCCGGTAGTAAGAGCATATCGTACTCTACTTGTGATATGTGTTGGAGTGTTGATTCTGTCCACTTTGTCTGTCCTAAATCACCTGTATTATTTATATTGATGCATACTTATTTAACCACCATGATAAGTAGTGAAATAAATCTAACAATGGTAAAAAAAAAATAATAAATAAATAAATAAATATTTGGGCTAGTCTAGCATGGCGTACAAAATTTACGAATTGGGATGAATTAAGAGTAAAGACAGTGAAAAGTGAGGTGGAAAACATAGAAAATTATCAATGTAGAGAGTTAATATGAAATTACTCGACATTAATGCGAAGTTAAGATCAGAAAAATCTAAGGGGTAAGAAAGAGAAATTAAATATTGTGCAATTTTTGCATTGTGGATGCTTTAAATGAGACTAATTGGCTTGCCAAGCTATTTGAGCTTGGCTATAGATTTAATGAATCAAGCAAAGTCATGCAAGTTCTTTATTACTCCAATACTTATAATGAAATTAATTTTATTGTTATGGCGTTTCAATTAGTTTTAGGATTGTACCATATAAGTATCTATAAATTAAAGTAGAATATTAAATTAAAACGAGTTTAACTTGAATCTAGAAGAGGCCCAATACTCGTCTCGAGCTAGAATCCAAATGTTACAAGCCTAGCAACTATAATCTCGAATTTGGCTCATCTTTTTTTAGGCCACACCCCACATTCATATTAAAGGTTATACACAAACGTAAGCATATAAAGGCGTAGAAATATACCTATAACAATAAATTTGAGGGGCAACTGAGGTGGTGTAGTCTTAAAATTGAACTCGCGAGACGAATGACCACTACAACGATAATAATAAACCGTATTAGGGTTGAGGGGGCCAATGACTACCTCGTGGATATGGCCAGACTTGTAGAGGAAATATCTATAACTTGTACAACTTCCAATGGCATAACTATCATATTCTGCAGATGACATGCCATACTCTACTTTAGATGGAGCTGGTTTTTTAGTTATCCATGATATTCTCATATGGTCTCTTCCCACCATGGAGATATGTACCTATAAATATAAAGTTACATCAATTAGCTTATACTTCGTATATTTGTTCTTCACCTTATAAAATATGTCCAGTAAATGATCATTGTTTACACCAACTCTACTAGTATGTATTTTTTGAGAAGAACATAGCTCCAATGATCCCATCCTAAGACAAGCAAAGCAAAACAAGAAAGACTACAAAAACATAAATACAGTATAAGAATCAACCGACGTGAAATCAAATGCATAGAAATATATAAACCGCCACCACCATTGATAATTAACTAGCTAATGTCTCATTATTAAGGTCCTTCAATAAAACAATACACTTCTCCTGGAGTCTTTGGCCACACTCGCCACTCCATCTCAACAAAGTATCACGCTGCCACTCGTGGTATCTTCGTCTTACCATTTATCAATATTTATTGAGATATTGGTTAAGGATTTAAATTCAAGTTAGCCAAGCCTTGCCAGAATGAAGTATATTTGATCGTTATATTATTTCTCCATTTCCACGAGAAATATACAAGTATATATGAAAATAACTATTCACGTAGAGAAATTATTTGAATTTAGCTTAAACCGACCTTTTTTAAAAATTTATTTATCTGAACATTACTCATACATTTGATTTTAAATACGTGAATTTAAGATGAGAAATTGAATACGCACATATTTAACAAGTCAATTCAACTGAATTGGATAATTATCATCCTACTACTAATAATTCACAACTATACATGAGTACATGACATGAATAACTCATTTGTTTAAATTAAAGAACAAAATACACCGTCAAAACCCACCTGGTTGTTGACTTTTACATGTATTGTGTAGGGTTGACCTGTAAGTTTCATGATCCCTTCCAAATGTACATGTGCAATAAAGAATTTAAGACTCGAAAATAATATGCCAAATGTAACGAATTAATACGATGACCACGTCTTAGATTATCCAATCGTAACCAACAGAGACAGCATGTACTTAGGCGAATTTCATGCATTCAAACATCATCTTCAATGAATATATTTGATGTTAGTTCTGTAATTAATTAATAAGGTGAGAAAATCTACAAGCAAAAAATTAATGAGAATTACTATTTAATTTCCCATGTAAGAATGGCCTTAGAAGACTTTCCAATAATGTATGTAATGCCAAATTCCCTCAAAAATTAGCATGTAAAGCCAAATTTATTTGGATTTTCCAAACTGTTACTCCGTACTTATTAATTAATAACAAAAATAGTGCTCTTTAAATTATTAGTACACACTTATATATAACGAATGGTTTAATTTTAATTGGGGTGAATTATATTCGGGCTATTTAAATTCAGTTTTTGGGAAGGATTGAATTTCTATCAATGACTTAGGGATGAGTTTAGTAAGGTTAAGGATTGTTTGCTCTAAGTTTAAGCATCATTATATTGTGAAGGAAATTTCCAAGACTCCAAGTATTAATTAGATACATTAACATGTACCATAACCAATTTAACACCCAATCACCCCAACCATCAATAAAACTAAAAATTCGAAACCAAGATGGAAAAAAATTAGGAGAAGGGAATAAAGTTAATTACCTGCTGAGGAGTGGTGGAACTATGAGAATCCGTTGTAATTGAGCGTGTTTCTTGTGGTGGTGGACGGATGTTTGACACCACATCACTGTTAAAGGCAGCCCAAATGATAGCTGAGATTGCCATTAAAAGGCTCGCATTTGCCATTGACATGGAAGATATCATCTTGTTACCACGCATATTGTATATGAAATGAAATATATTTTGTTTGATATTTGATAAGAAGGCGTATAAATAAGATCATCAAAAGGAATAAAAATGCGTAGTAAGTTAACAAAGGTTATGGTGCAAATGTCAGAAATGTGGTATATATATTTGTTACGTCCAAAATCATCTACTCGTATGAAGTAGTGCTACAACTTTAATGCAATGCTTTCACAACTTTAATTCATACGTAGCTAAACTACGTTATTTTTATAGGTGGGGTCCACTTCTTATGTTTCGTGAGAGGAAGAAAGTGTTCAATACGTAGAAATGCAAGATAAATGACTTTAGGCATTTTTAAGGAAACCTAGCATGTTTTTAATTATTTTTTAGAATATGGAATGTGTGTAATTTCACATATAAATGGTAAAGTCGGGTTGAATGAATCTATTTCTCCTATTCGATGTTTAGGAGTTTTCATTTGTTGGTGAAATACTTTTTTCTCTAAAACAATTATGTGCATTTGTATTCGTTATGTTATAAAGCATAAAAAGAAGCTATTATTGAAATTACAACGTAATTAAGATACATAGTCCGCTTAAACATCTAGTTTAATCTTATGCTAAGTGTTTATGTTGTTGAGCTTACTACTATTTCTAAGGTATGTACATTCATACACAGATACACTTGCAATGGCACGAGGGGTAGGTGTGCATACATATACATATGGACCGAGCTTGATCCCATCCTTAGTAGTACAAATTTATATTTCTACCTAATTATTTATCATTTCCATCAACATTCATCAATTTCTTTAATTATAATCCCTTTACTTGTAAAAGAGAAGAAAGAAACAAATAGAAGGAGAAGAGGAAAGAGAAGAGCTGCGAAAGGAGGAGAACAGAGAACGAAGAAGAGGAGAGAGAAAGAGAAGGAGAAGAGGAGAGAAGAAAGAGGGGCGCTTGGGTTGGAGAAGGGGAGTAACCGGGTTTTATTTAGGTAGGGTTTGGAAAATGAATTTTTTTTTTTTATTGTATTCCGACGGAAAATTCCGTTGGAAAATTCCGACGGATTAGAAATCCGCCGGAAAATGTAAATTCCGTCGGAAAGCACATATATTCCGACAAAATTTATTTCCTTCAAAAAGTTCCGACGGACTTTCGACGGATTTTTTGAATTCGTCGGAAATATCCGACGGAAAATAATTCCTTCGGAAATATCCAACGGAAAATAATTCCGTCGGAAATTATGCTTTTTCCGACGGAATTTCGTATCCGTCGGAACAAGTCCGTCGGAATCAAGCTAAGCAAGAAATACCGCACCTTTGAGCTCCAAGAATGTTCTTTTCATTATAAAATCATTAATTAGGGTGTGCATTGAGAAATTTCTCAACAAGTGGCCCAAATAGATTCCAGGTACAAGGTAGACTGCAAGATAGTACTTAAAGGGGAACTTGTCCCTGTCATAGGTAAGGCCAATACCCCAACAAAGTAGAATTGGTTACAAATATCTCCCTAACAGAGAAGTGGAAGGTGTTCATAGCATCCTAGATGCACCCTATCAAGCTCCACAGAAGACTGAATCACGAATAAGAGAAAGGACCACCAGCTTATCCACCATGAACCGATATCAAAAATTTGGTTAGCCTGATCATCAGAGCTGTGTAGATCACTTTATTTTATTATTTTAGGGTTTATAAAATTGTTACTGGCATGGCTATCTAATTACTAAACTTTGTCAAATAAGTGAACCAATCACAAGTAAGGGAATGTTAGTGCACACCATATCAAATCCATACAATCGCCCTTGAATAAAATATTGTATTTCAATCATCGCTATGGCCTTGGAGTCATTCCCTAAGAGTTCAAGGGGAAAATAATAGCTTGGATGGGTCCTTAATTGTCCCATTGGTGTCCCTAAATTATTTATTTATGGTATAATAGGCTCTTGGTGCTTCTCTATGAATCCATTTTGGTTCCCATCAACATCTCTTTAATTTCAAAACTTCATTCTCCTTAAAAACAAGCTTACCATAGCCTAATCTTATGTGGAGCTTTGGCCCATGGTAGATTGGAATGCTTATATAGACAATACTAACTTCTTTACACATTTAGGTCCAATGAAACTAACAAAAGTTAAAGTTGTTACTACCTATTCCCTATTTTCCGTTAGGCTTCTTTTCTGAAGTTAGGATGTTGTGTTTGATATGGCTAAGGCCTAAGGGTACATGAGATGAGATTCTGGTGCTCACCCATGCTGTGTTAAACAAATCTCACATAATGATGTAGAAAGTGGGAAAAAAAAATGATATAATGATTGGCTGTGTTATATGGAGAGAAAATCAGGTGTATATAAGTACATTCTCTTGTAAGAGCTTTTATGTAGCTCAGCACAGTATGGCATCATGCACAGTTTTGCAGTGAAATTACATGTTTATGTTTTAATTTTCACATATAACAGCATTGGCACAAGACATTCAAATGGGAATAGATGATGAACGTACATACCAGGTTAGATGGCTCGGATGCAGAGCTGCAGTCCAAGGATTCCACTCTAGATCATAGAAAGAGTAACAAAAGGTCTTTTAACTTGACTTTAGCATCCACCTGAAATACTATAGTGTTCAGATTCACTAAAAAAATAAGACAAGCCTGTATAAAAAAAGCATAGACTAGAAGAGGATACCTTGGAAATGGCAGAAGCTAAATTTCTCATCTGCAGTCCAATTTAAGAAGTCAGCCTCTTGTCCAATTGATCTTATGACAAGCGCCAAAACTTACAGACAATTAAGCCTCTCTAACACCAGGACATCAGAAGATTGACGAGCCTTATTTATAATATCTACCCCTTATTCGATCCAATAACCTTAATTCTTCATCCCTTTGAAGATAAGGATCAAGTTTGCGAAGGTTATTTACAAACATAGCAGCCTCATCTGGACGATTAAATTTACAGAAAAAATCGACTACAGAATTGTATGTGTTTGAGTTAGGTCTACAATTATGGTTGATCATACAGCGAATCATATCAATGGCCTCCAGAAACATATCATTTGCAGCATAATATGCAATGAAAATATTGTAAGTAATTACATCAGGAATAATCCCAGAGCACCTCATCTCAGAAAATATTCTACAAGCATCTCTCAATCGACCATTTTTGCAATAAGCATATATAACAGTATTATATGAAATGATATCAGGCTGCAGTCCATTACTAGCGATTTCTTCCAGAATTTCTTCTGCTCTAAGAAATGATCCAGACCGGCTATACATGTACATCAGAGAATTATATGTTGTCAAGCTAGGAGTAAACTGACTCTGCTTCATGAAATCCAAAATTTCATTTACTTTTTTGACCATCTGTCGGCGGCCATATATAGATACCAGGGAATTCAAAGTTGTTATATCCATAGAGTAGCCTCTCCTCCTCAACTCCTGAAAAGCACGTTCTGTTTCCACTAAAAGGCCAGTTTTGCTATTGACAAGAACTAACGTCTTCAGTAGCACAGGATGAAGTGTAATTTCCCCAGAATACACCTCTTCCGCAAGAGTGCACATACGTTCAGTTTGCTTTCCATTAGCATAAGCATGAAGCAAACAAGAGTAGCTCAGCTCATTAGGCTTACACTGACCACTTCTCATTTCAGTAAGTACCTTTTCAGATTCTTCCCAAAGACCACCTCGAGCTAATGCTGCCAAAATAGCATTGTAGGTTGAAAGATCTGGCATGACACCAGTTTCCAGCATCATCTTATAAACAGCCAACGATTTTTTAAAGGAGCCACATCGACTGTAAGCACTTATTAAGGTGTTGAAAGTATCCCGCTCTGGTACAAATCCTGCCTTCTTCATCTCACTGAACAGACTAGAGACTTCAGTATCCATTCCATTCTGTCCAAACACGGCCAAAAGAGAGTTCCAAGTGACAATATCAGGGGAACAATTGCAATGCTTCATCTCCTCAAATGTCCGCATCATTTCCGAAAATCTCTTGCGATTACCATGCATTTTAATGAGGGCATTAAAGGTGCAAATATTGGGCTTGCAACCTGCACTTCTCATCTCCTCAAAAACCTTCATTGCACATTCATCTTTACCAGCCTTCTCAAAACCAGAAAAGAGAGTAGTGTAAGTAAAAACATCAGGTTTGATCCCTTTCTTAACCATCTGAGCTTTAATCACCATAGCCTCTTCTAATAAACCACCCCTCACATAAGCAGAAATCAAGGAATTAAAAGTCACATCACTCGGTGCATATCCACGAATCTCCATCTCCCGCAAAACCCCCATTGCTTCTTCAGGACGCCGAGACTTTCCATAAACATCCAGCAAGACATTGTAAGTGACATTATCAGGCACAAAGCCAGCTAACTTCATCTCCTCAAAAACTCCGGCTGCCTCCTCATACAAAGACCCACGACGACAACAACTAATAAGTGTATTATAAGTGTACAAATCTGGAGCGATTCCATCACGCTTCATATTGTCTATAACTTTAGCAACTGTAATCCAAGGCATACCCATCTTTCCATAAACATTCAAAATCACATTATAAGTAACCAAAGTAGGTTTACACCCAACATCCTCCATTTTCTTAAAAATCGTCACTGCCTCCCTATACCGTCCATTACTAGCATACGCGCTTACCATTGCAGTATAAGCATAAACATCAATGTCAAAACCATCCTTATCTAGCTCATCAAACAAGCAAGCCGCAATCGAAACACGGCCTTCCTTACCAAGAATACTAATCATAGCAGCAACAACAGGCCCATCTAACAAATTTTGATAATCATTCCGACTACGAACCCAATTAAACACCCTGAAAGCCAAATCACACTTACCCAAAAACCCTAAACCCTTAATTATCCCCAAAATGTCAGCATTTACAGACCACAAACCAAGACTACCCACTTCCTGATTTTCACAAATTCCTTGATTTTCAAACAATCTAATCAAAATACAGCCTAAATTAGATGAATGTAAATCAGTACCAACAAGAATTTGAAAAATTTGCTGACCTTGAGGGGAGAGACTATGATGAGTCCAGGGTTTACCCTTGTTAGGATCCCGGTGTTTACCGAGGCGGCGATGCCGTCTAGGAAGACGAAGAAGAGATGGGTTCAAGGCACTGCTACTGCGATGACGGGTATTGATAAAGTTTGAGTCTTGGGGTTGTTTAATGATGGGTTTAAGGGGAAAAGAGGATGATGATTGTGGCAGAACTGATGGTGGGGGTGGCGGTGAGGAGAGAGAATGGTGGCGGTGAGTGGGTGTATTAGGAAAAGGAGCAAGTGGAAGAAGTGGAATAGCTAGTTTTTCTGCCATGGTTGGAGGAGAGAGAGAGATAGAGAGGGAGAGAAGGCGGGAAGAGAGAGTGTTGCAGGATAAGTAGAGGAATGTTAGACTGTTATACTTGTCTTGGACCGTTTATAATTTAGATAAGTTGTAAATCATCATCTTAACTTTTAGTTAGAGTGAGAAGATGATTATATAAGCCAATTTTTGAAATTAATGGTAGTTGAAATGAAAACTTTGTGTACACACAATCACTCATATTACATTAATATTAGTAGAGAGTGAGGGATAGCTCAAGTGATTAGAGTTAAAGATGGAAATATTTAGTAGATCACCCGCTCCATCCATCTTATTGGATGGGTGAAAAACTCGATTTAAACGGATGATGGGTGGGTGATGAATTAACGGATGCGGGTGACGAATCGGATTCGGGTGGAAAATTTTCACCCATCACTCGACCCGTTAACCCGATCTATCACCCGAATATTTCAAAAAAAAACAATTTTTTAAATTTTTCTGAAATTTTTCTGAAATTTTTTATATTGGGCTAGGCCCAATGAAGCTAATGTCCTAACTCCTATGGGGCGTTTGGCAAATGGAAATGGGAATTTGGGGAATATAGGGTGGGAGTGGGAATGGGAATTAATAGGTGGGAATAAAAGTGTGCATCGTATCATGTCGTGCCGCCGCGGGTCGTGCCGTGCCGTGCCACCATGCCGGAGTAGACGTGCTGTGCCGCCTAAAGTCACAGGCCAGCCCACGGCACAGCCCACGTGCCATTCCGGCTCGTGTCGTGCTGGCCTGGTGGGTTGGCCTACTGGGCTGGCACGCTGCTGGCTTGGCGGGCTGGGCTGCTTGGCTGCTGCCTTCCTCCCTTTATTTATTTATTTATTTATTTATTAATAATTTATAACTTATAATCTTATATTATTATATTTCTAAAATAAATTAAGTTTAATATTTATGTTTTATTATTTTTTATATTTAATATTTAAATTTATATATTTAGTTTATACTATTACTTTATAGTTTAATGTTTATAATTTATTACATTTATTTTTGTATTATTAATTATTATAATTTTATTTTTGTTATATTAATTTACGAATTATAACTTAACGGAAAAAAGGCAAATTGGACTTTGGATGTGAATAATGCATACTTCATATTATTATTATTACTTGAAAAAATTGTACAATGATAATAATGATAAAAATCGTACAAGGATATTAAACAAAAATTGGATAATGATAAAAATCATAAAATGATAATATTGATAATGATAAAAATTGTACAATATACAAAAATTATCTATTCTTCTTCTTCTTCTTGTGCGTCTTCGTCTTCGTCTTCGGCTTCAAGGTCATCGGCTAGTTGCATAGATTGGGAACTAAGCCGAACCCGAACGGTCGGAAGCGGAGGTTCCTTCATCGTTGTCGTTGTCGTCGTAAGAACGGTCTTGTGACCGATTTTCCGCATCCAACCAATCTTTGAAACACACACACATTTCAAGTGTTTCGGGTTTTAGACTTGTTCTTCTATCGTCTAAAACCCTCCCGGATGCGCTGAAAGCTCGTTCGGAGGCAACAGAGGAGACTTGGATACCAAGAATGTCTCGTGCCATTGCCGCCAAAGTTGGATGCTTCGTGCTTTGTTGTTTCCACCATGCAAGGAGGTCGAGGCTGGTTATCTCATCGTCATCTATGCTCTTGGTGAAGTCGTAACTCAGGTACATTTGCAACTTCGAGACATCGCTTTGCGTTCTCCTTATTGATGAATCACCTGAAAACCTTGAAATCAAGTTAGTAGCTTGTGAAAATAAATGTTTGGCCTTCTTACTTACGTTTTTGGATGGTTGGGAAGGCCCTGAGCGATGAACGGTGCCATATTTGGCTTCATAGACTCTATATAAAGCAAAAAACTGATCCTTCACATTAGTCTTATAGGTATCTACATCATCGTCCAGAAGCATGCATTGAAAGTAAATGTCAAGTAACATAGATGTATTTTCATACTTTTGCCTAGGATCTAATATGGAAGCAAAAATATAAATCAAAGGAATTTCACTATAATATTTACGCCCCTTTGTTTCCATTGCCGGAAGATACTGATTATAATCACTTTGGTTCGATGATCAACGAAAAGTTGGGCGAGTAAACATGCATTTGAAAGAAAGTTTTGAGCACAAGGATTATAAACAGAAGAAAAACAATACGTTATGTTATATAATAATTGTAAAAATTGCATATATCGTTCACATTTAGCCCAATCATCCTCATATAGAGCATTGTTTGGAAATTTTTGGTTGTAAAAAATTGTCAACGGATTCTTGTACTCAATTGCGTTGGTTAACATGTCATAGGTGGAATTCCACCTAGTTGGGCAATCGGTTTTGATTTTTATTGCCCTTATCTTTTGTTGTCTTAGAAAACTCTTCCATTCTTGGTATCTCATGTTTGAACTATTAATAGACATAATAGCTTCTCTAATTTTGTTATAGTATGGACCCATTGCTCTAAGTCCATCCTATACACACAAGTTAAGAACATGGCAAACACATCTAGTATGGAGTGCATCACCATCTAATATTACATCGGTCAAGTTTTGTTTAACATAATTAGCAGTATATGTCATTGCGGTTGCATTGTCAAATGTCATAGACATCATTTTATCTCGAAGGTTGTATTCATTTATTGCTTCCATTAAATGGTGAGCAATGTTAATACCGGTGTGGGGGTATTCCAGCATTTTGAAATGGATTATTCGTTTTTGTAACAACCATTGATTATCTACCCAATGGCAAGTCACACATAAATAGTGATATTTATAACCACTATCCCAAGAATCGGCAGTCAAAGACACTCTACAGTTAAGGTTACTCAATTCGTCTTGTAACTGCATTTGTACTCTAGGATGTTTTTCATGGCTGCGGAACGAAAGGTTTTCCTAGACATTCTTTTATGTTGGGGTTGTAATGCTTTGTTAATGTAAGTGTTAAATGGGTCACTTTCGACGAAGAGAAAAGGTTGTTCGGCGTGTACTATCATTTTCCCTAGTTTATCCCTATCCCTCTCATAGTTGTAGGTAAAGCCGTGTGGATGGGATTGAGAAATTTTTGGCTGGGTTGGATCACTAGCTGGTTTTGCACAACTTCTCATGTGTCTACTTAAGTGTCCCGTCCCCGATGTGGATTTTCCCGAGAATGGATGACCACATGTTTTACATTTTGCTCTTTGGTGGTCTCTACTTAGGAGGAAATAACGTCATACCTCACTTTTGCGACTTTTGATAAGTACCATCTCACTCTCGGTTAACCATTCCTCATGTGTGTTTGGGAATTAGGTGTCCGTAGAATCGGGGGTTTGTTGGTTAGTAGTAGAACCGAAGGCATTTACGGTTTGTTGGCTACCTTGGCTAGAATAAAAATTTTGTGGGTCAAAGTAATTTAGTGGGAATTGACCGAATTGTGGAAATTGGTTTGGTGGTGGAAATTGGTTTGGTGGTGGAAATCCGGGCATATTGTAGAATTGAAAACCGGAAGTACCATCGTGCCTAAATTGTTCAAAGCCTAGGGGGACGTTATCGGGGTCATTAGTTGGAATGGCCGAACTCGAAATTTGGGGGCTTGTTGGATTAGGTGATTCCCTAGAACTACTACCACGAACAAGTCAACCTTTCCCCTTCCCCCTAGATGATGGGCTGTTCGATGCCATAATTAACAATAATAATTTTAATAATAATATAATTAATAACAAAAATTTTAACAATAATAATAATTAATAACAACAATTATAACAATAACAATAACAGCAGTAATAATTAATGACAATAATTGTAATAATAACAATAACAACAATAATAATTAATAATAACAATAACAACAATAATAATTAATAACAACAATTTTAACAATAATAATAATTAATAACAACAAATATAACAATAACAATAACAACAATAATAAATTGAAGATTAGTTTAGATCTTACAACCGTACTTCAACGCTTTCCACTAATTACGATTACAAACTTTTAATTTTTTTCGATATTAAGAAATAATATTTAGAGAATTTAAGAGAATTAATAGAGAATATAAGAGATTAAGGATTATTAGAGAATATAAGAGATTAAGAGAGGAAGATTGTGAATTTGTGATTTGGGAAGTGAATGAAATTGGGTATTTATAGGGAATTTGGGAAAGAAATGGGAAAAAAGAGTCGTTTATGGTCGTTGCTCCAACGGAAAAAAATGGCAAAAATAGTCGTTTATGGCCGTTGGCACGATGGGCCAGCAGCGGGCTCGTACCGGGCCGTGCTTCAAAATTCAAAACGCTGTCCGTGGCACGGCCCACGGCACGCCCGTCGACCACCGTGCTAGGCCGGGTGTTAGAATCCGCCTCTTTCTCTATGTATCCCCCTTCCTTTTTCCTTGTATTTTCCTTATGTAGTGTCTTCTAAGTCTTTCTTTTTGCTTTCTAGGCTCTAGGGAAAATTATTGTGTTACTGTAGTTTCAGCGTTCATTAGTATTTCTCCATGTAATCAATATAAAGCTTTTGATGGGGCGAATGGTTGAATGAATGAAAGCTCCTATCCGGGTTGCCTTTGCTTTAAGACTTGTGTGTTGATTTAAGCCTTTATAGATATTGTGCTTGCCTTGTTTTAAAGCCTCCCCACCAAACCAAGAGAACCTCAAAAGACGCCTTCCTTATCGTCGGTCCCGCTTGTGCCCGCTTCGAAATATCGGCCGTCACAAGCCCCGACTCAGCACTCGTTGTTGACAAGTGCTTCGTTGAGATACCTTTGGTCCGTGCTGCTGTGTGCCACGAACCCCCCCCTTTCGCTCTAGGCTTGCGTCCTTGTCGTCAATAGACAAGTGCGCGTCGCACGATCCAGTGTCAAAACTCTCGGACCGTGACACCGGGCCGGGCCGCTCGCGGGCCACACGGCCCGTGCCCACCTTTAGGTGGGAATTCATGAAATAATCTCAATCCCTTGTTTGGCATATTTTGGAAATAAGATTGAGAAATTTTAAATCCTATGTTTGGTATGTGGGAGTAATAGAGGGATTAAAAGCATAATTTACAAGATTACCCTTTGCATATTAAAAAAGTGTAAATATATGTCACAAAAGAGGGGGTAGTATTGTCTTTTTAACAATTCAGTGAATTCCCCCCAAAATATTACCTGTCCCCCCCACCCCCCAAATAATAAAATGTAGGGAATACAAGCTAATTATTCCCAAGCCTATTCCCATTTTATATCATAATTCCCACCAATAAAACATGGGT